CAGTCTATGTCTAGATCTTGATCATGTTCCTTCCAATTGTCTTGCATATTGTGGCTGGAATAAGCCTTGATCAAATCTGTCAATGATTTTCTACTTCCTATGAGATCAAACATAACCTCCTCTGCCTCCCTTTTAAGTTCTCCATATTCTTTATTCTCCATCTCCTCCCTCTTCCCTTTCCCTCCATTCCTACACACACACTCCAAGGAGACTATTATGGTCCACTGCCCATTTACTAGGTTCAGGGCTGTTGGACCCAACCCATCTCATTCCATCCCCTGATCCCCACTCCCAGCTGGATCCTTCACTGAGAGTTGCCCTTAATGAGGCCTTGCAGGCAGAGACTGGCTAATGTGGGTAAAAAAGGCCTGTCCCCCTTACTTCAGTTGAGGACAACACAGCTCCTGAACTCTGCCATAGGATCAGACAAGGCCTCAGTTTCAACCAGATTGCTTTTCCCATTGCATTACCCAATTTTTCTAATTTCCTTATAGATCTATTGTCCTGTAAGCATTCCCAATAAAACTTCTCAGGACTTTTGTCTCAGAGTTTGAGAAAGCAATTTAAGAGGCAGTTTCCAGAGTGGTCGAGGGAAGAATACTCTAACAAGGGATTTGGAACAAGTGCTGGCGAGGATGTGGGGAAAAGGGTACACTTGTACATTGCTGGTGGGACTGCAAATTGGTGCAGCCAATTTGGAAAGCAGTATGGAGATTTCTTGGAAAGCTGGGAATGGAGCCACCATTTGACCCAGCTATTCCCCTTCTTGGTCTATTCCCTAAAGACCTAAAAAGAGCATGCTACAGGGACACTGCTACATCGATGTTCATAGCAGCACAATTCACAATAGCAAGACTGTGGAACCAACCTAGATGCCCTTCAATAGATGAATGGATAAAAAAAATGTGGCATTTATACACAATGGAGTATTACTCTGCATTAAAAAATGACAAAATCATAGAATTTACAGGGAAATGGATGGCATTAGAGCAGATTATGCTAAGTGAAGCTAGCCAATCCCTAAAAAACAAATGCCAAATGTCTTCTTTGATATAAGGAGAGTAACTAAGAACAGAGTAGGGTCGAAGAGCATGAGAAGAAGATTACCATTAAACAGGGATGAGAGGTGGGAGGGAAAGGGAGAGAGAAGGGAAATTGCATGGAAATGGAAGGAGACCCTCAGAGTTATACAAAAGTACATACAAGAGGAAGTGAGGGGAAAGGGAAAAATAATACAAGGGGGACAAATGAATGTCAGTAGAGGGGGCAGAGAGAGAAGAGGGGAGGGGAGGGGAGGGGGGATAGTAGAGGATAGGAAAGGCAGCAGAACACAACAGACACTAGTATGGCAATATGTAAATCAATGGATGTGTAACTGATGTAATTCTGCAATCTGTATATGGGGTAAAATGGGAGCTCATAACCCACTTGAATCAAAGTGTGAAATATGATATATCAAGAACTATGTAATGTTTTGAACAGCCAACACTAAAAAATTAAAAAAAAATAAAGATCTATTAACAACTAAAAAAATAGTTTTTTTAAAAAGCTATTACTTCAAAAAAGGGTGGTATTCTAGAATACTAGAATTCTTAAAATTTAATGTTATAACTGCTAAGAGTTGAATTTTTATGGGTTTTTTAGACTCTAAAAAAAAAAAGGGATTTGGAGATGGATAACATGCCAGACAGCTGCCAAGAATAGCCCCCAGGCATACAGTAGATTTTTAAAACTTTTCCTGCCAGTAAACTGGCATGGTCTGCTGGTAGAAGGACTCACTGACAGGTAAAAGACCTTTGATGCTTAAAATTCATGAGAGATAAAAGGATTAGGTACTTGATTTTCAAGTGGCATTGATTTGTTTAAGAGATAATAAAGACTCGTGATATTAATCACCATTTCAGGCAGACTGTGAAAGCCATAGATAGGGTCTCTTTGGCAACACTTAATTAAGCTCTGATTTCCTGCAATCAAAGGAGGACTCAGTTGTAAGAAGAGTGCTATTTCAGAAAAGTTTGCATTTTGAGCTCTTGCAAGTTTTCTTTACCAATGTTAAGGCTTTCGTGGAGAAGGAATGGAACTCCTAAAAATTGGGAGAGTTATACCTTGATAGATACAGTTGAGAATCTCAAACTCTGAAATTTCCCTGGACCCAATAAACCATTTCTAGGTTCACATCCCTACTGGGAAGTACTAGGTCAGCAAAGGAATGATAGGAGTATACAAGAAAGTGGCTAGAGGAGTCAGGGGAAGAACCGTATATATCCTGAAACTTCTGGATCAAAGAGGGGGGACAGAACATGAAGTTGGATAAGGGATACCTACCACCCCCCAGAGCCATATCCCATGACTCAAGATTTAACTCTATAGCAAATGCCCCAAGGATAATGACACTAAGCTGCTAGAATGTCTTAGAGGATTACAAAAGCTGTAACTCACATTTAATGAAATAGAAATACAGGAACTTCCATTGTACATGTTGGACAAAAAGTATCCAAAAACTCAGAGAAGAAAGCATGCTAAGAGGATTTGCTATACATAAAGTTTAGGGGGAAAAAGTAACCAAATGCATTTTCAGGAAGGCCTCTTTTAGTACCTATCATCTGTAGGTCAAGATTAACTGTAGGAAGAGATACTGTTATTAAACTAGGCTTCCTGAGGAATGTGAGAATAGCAAGATCTTTAAAAACATGTCAGGTTGTAATGTTTAATTTTCAGAAGTAAGATGAGTGCATTTCTTGCAAAGCATGGGAGGATTGTAGTGGCATCTAGGGGCTCCCAACATGATAATGGTTAATACAATACGATGTTTCTGGATAGGCTGCCAACAAAGGTATTGCTTAAATGTTTGGTTAAAAGAAATTAGTGATGGCTGAGTGCAGTGGCGCATGACTGTAATCCCAGCAGCTCAGGAGGCTGAGGAAGGAAAATTGCAAATTCAAAGCCAGTCTCAGCAACTTAGCAACACACTTAGCAATTACCAGGACCCTGTCTGAAATAAAATCCAAAAAAAGGGCTAGGGATGTGGCTCTGTGGTTAAGCACCCCTGGGTACAATCCCCAGTATCTCCCCCCCAAAAAAAAAATCAGTGATAGATGATCAGAGGAAGAGGGCAGTAACAATAAAAGTAAAATCCCTTGCGCAGTTTCCACAGCAGACCTGGAACCCATTGACTTAAAGGGTGGTTGGTTCCCCTAAGTAAAAACCTTGCAATATGAAGGCAAATCTATTATTTTGTTATCTTCCCACTTCATAACCTGGGAACTTTGGACCATTTATTCAGGTCAATGTGTTTTACCTTAATATTCAATACTTTGGTGATACTGAACACTGGGTTGGAATTAACACAACTACTTGGAGACCAAATGAACCACCATGTTTCCCTACTAAATTAAAAGCATATAGGAACTTCTAGAGTCCTACCCAAGGTCTGGTTCTCAGTGGACCCACTGCTCCATGGACCAACTTGGTAATACATGCCCTCATTTCCAAATACATAATTGGAAAGGACACTGTTGGTAGTTTAAAAGAGCTCACATTCATTTTTGACCTCTTAGGCAAGAGCTATTGTGGTGGAAAGGGGCAAGTGAATGCTCAGAAGCCTTTTGCTCAGAAGCCTCCAACAAAAAGGATAAATTAAAAACCAAAGCTGAATCCCAAAAGGAATGGGGGAAAAATCAATGAAAATTTCAAAGACTTTAATATTGTAGTGGCCCCTGTCACATTTCCTTTTATTTCACAATACTGTCTCCTGCAAAAACAACCAAAGATGTCAGCAATGGTAGTAGCCCTGGTTGAAGCTACTGCCCTCAATGTTAATTATTTGCTGGAACCAACTGAAATAACCTCCAGCATGTGATCTGGCAAGTGTGTGTGTGTGAGAGAGAGAGAGAGAGAGGTTTTTTTTTGTTTGTTTTTGTTTTTGTTTTTTTTTGTGTGTGTGTGTGTGTGTTTGAGAGAGAGAGAGAAAGTGAATTTTGTTTTGTGTGTGTGTGTGTGTGTGTGAGAGAGAGAGAGAGAGAGAGTTTTTGTGTGTGTGTGTGTGAGAGAGAGAGAGAGAAAGTGAGTTTTGTTTTGTGTGTATGTGTGTGTGTGTGTGTGTGTTTCCATATCTATAAGGAAAGAGAACCAGAACCAGTCTGCATTCCCATGGGATAGACAACAGTTTACACTTATGGTCTGGTCTCCAGTCTTTTTCCATTCTTACATCCTTTATCAAAATATAGATCGGAAGGATCTGTATTTTATGATCATTCTGTTTAACATTACACTGACCCACCATATAATTGACATCATCTAGTAAGACCAGATGAAAGATATGGGGCAAGTATAATAGAGGTCTTGGTAAGCACCAACACCATGCGTGAGAAAGAATAGGTGATTAATCTTATAAAGATTCAGGAGACTTGTGATTCCAGAGACGATGGAGTACACATTTCCCCTATCCCTGCTGGTAGGGATCTTAGGGCTGAGGGAATGATAAGAAAATGATTTTTTTGTTTTGCTTGATTATTCTACTACATATTCTACACTGAATACTAGAGAAGGCAGTAACCCAGAAATGCCCATGGTACAAACACAACAAAAGCTGTGAGGTTTTTCATGTTTCAATTTTGATAAAGTGGCTGGGATGTCTCCTGTGAGAGGGCTGGCAAGAATAGGGAGGGGTTAAGGAGGATTCAGAAGATAACTTGATGGTCAATAAGTTTTAATTGTTTATGGTTTTGTTTCATTGTTCTCTCTCATGCAGACATTACTAATCAGTGGTGATAGATCAATCTTTAAATAAGATTTATAGAAATAAACACATTCTAAATTGTTCATGAAATAGTAAAAATTCATTGTCAATGATCTCATAACTTAAAATTCAGCCAACTTCAGAAACAAGTGAATTGAAATACCCTTAGGCTAAAGTGGAATAGTCTGTTCCATTTAATCAACTAGGTGGAAATACTTATAAATTTAATTCCTTTAAATTCATACAGTGAATCAACCATGTGCAAAGTTCTGAAGGTTTTTATTTTTTATTGATCATTGAGTTTCTTGAATGGCAGATAGTTTGATTAGTGACACTGTGAAACTAAGAAGTATTTGAATTAAGAAATATTGAAACCCATGAGAAGTAAATGTGAAGATGCACAAAATTCAAGACAATTGGCTTGTGAAAGACAAGTATGGTGCACTGATTACAGAAAGGAAGACAAGTCTTACAATGAACTTTTATTTGCAGCAAGTTTCTGAAGGCTTCCTCATTCAGCATTTCTTATTCAAAGAGTACACCCAGAAAGTTCTGTCTTCAGCTGGTAGGAAGAGGCTTGGAAGTTCCCAAAGACCAGCTCTAAGCCACCTCTACCACCCCTGCTTCTTGAATGCCTCATTCTGATTCTCCTTGAAGATGCCAGGCTGCCAAGGGGATCATGTGATATGGGCTAGGGATTGAACTGACCGTGGCTGGACAACACAGAACCCCTTTGTTGCTCACTAAAACAAATTCCAAATTCCACTCTTATGGCACATCACACCAGGATCATATATAATCCTAAAGAATCTTTATTTGTTCTATAATTTAATAGTATACCTATAAAATAATTACATTATACTTATAGCTTTTCTTCATTTATAAACAAAACAAAACAGAAACAATTAAATACAATTTGAGCCAGCATAAGGTAAACTTTATACATACAATAACCCCTCGAAGGAGCTTCACACTGCAGCATATCATATTGCTTTCATTGCTACACCCACAACTGGGTTCAAAAAGAGTGCTCAGGTTATTATTCTATGAGTTCTTAGCTTAATCTTCCCCCCTTTCTGTGGGGGCTCTGCATTAATAAAACGATAGGGGTTGACTTGGCAGTTGTATTGGAGACTCTCCTCCACTCTCCTTCCACTCCACTCCATCAGCCTCCATTAGGATCATGTGGGCTTCCTTTCTTCACAGTTTTTCTGCTGCATATTCTACACTGGGTCTGACTTGAGGTTTTCCGCTAAATGAAAATAATCAATTCTGACAGTGGATACCTTTTTTACTTTTCATCGCCATCCCTGGGTTCCAGCCCTCAATGATTTCTTTTTATTTCTGCTTCCTGATTTTGGGCTACCCACTTCTGAAGCCAAAACCCCATTCATAATAGCACAGTCTGTGCTCAGGTTTTGTGGTGTTACGGAAGTGACAGAAATATACAACTTGCAGTGCAGCAGCAGGAAACAGATTCACCAACATGCTACGCCCCACCCCAACCCTTGTTCTCCAGGTGACAAACTCTAGATCCACTGTTACTGCCTAGTGTCAGTTTCAGTCTCCAGAGCAATTTGCAGAGGGTCTCACACATATACTAGGAAACTGACCCTTTGGCTGGAACACTCGCTTAGAAATTATCAGAGAAAGGCTTTTAGAGTACGCTCATTCCCACCAATGGCATCTCATTCACATTTGTCAGATTCCATAAACATCACTCACAGGGAAGCCTTCCTGGGGAAATTTAGCAAAGAGATTCAAACTGAGTATAGTTTTGTGAGAGCATAAATTATGTCAATTTCCTCATATCAAGAGACCACAACATGGAAACTTTGACAATTCATTAGAAAAAATGAAAGGTGACCTAATGTTTGCTCATACTTTTAAAGTCTATTCTTTGGAAGGGATACTAGTTATTTTCCGTAGGACAGTTCAACTATATTACTATTCTTTATATGTTAATCCTTTACTTCCTCCTGCACCACAAAGTGACCCAGTTCCTTATATTCTTAAATACATCTTTAAACAGGAAACAATTTTGCTTAATGTTATGGCAGTGAAAATAGCATCCTGTGTCACCCCACATATGCATAAGGGATTTTGAGTTAATAACTTCCCAATGAATTCCCCTCCCCACACCCATCCACCCCAACCTAATTTCTATATTGTGCTGCAATGCTTTAGTACCTTCAGTGACATAATATTCAAAGTAAAAGCATGATTCTGCCCATTTCCCTGCCCAATCTAAAAGAGGTGCACGACAGTGAATTGCTGACCAGGCATTATGTCTGAGTAAAAAATACCTTTTTGGCAGATCATCACCTGCTGTCCTCCCTACTCAGAATGGTGCTGCAAGGCCAGAGTCAAAACATGTGAAACAATACATGATAGGTCTATAATACTTTTTAACAGCTCTTTACAATATAGGTCAATTATAAAACCAGCGTTAATATAGAGACCTTGTGTGTGATAATATTCTAATTGCAGCGATAATAGCATGCACACTAGAGTTCATCTCAAGTCCACTGATGGAGGCTGGGGAGTAAGGAAGAAAAGGTGGTGATGTCTCCTGGAAGGGTGTGGCCTGCTGAAAGCAAGGTCCCCAGGAAAGCCCACTTGATCCAAGTGGCTCAGTGGTTTTCTTGGTTTCGGGTTTGTTTGGAGCCCCTCTGGCCCTGGACATCTCCTTTAAGGACATTGTCCAAATCAGTATCACAGCAGCAGCAAAACCACAAGAATGAATTCTCACCACCCCCAGAGGTCCAGGAAAACAGCAGGAGAAGTTTGAGGGGCTGCTCAGACGAGTGATGCACCCTTTACAAGGAAAGGGGGCAAGCTGGAGTGTAGGATGAGGCCTGGGAAATACTCGCTTCCACATGGTGGAAACATCCATGCTGGATTTACAATGCATCAACTAAAGTCCTCTCTGACTGCTGGGGCTAGCGGAGAGGTTTCCAGCATCTTTCCATCGGGGCCTGATCCACAAGCTAGTTCTGGAGCTCCAGGCAGGGCTCCGAGTCAGTCAGAAATACATCAGCAAAGCTCCACTTGCGTTCCACGTTTGTGACACGGACACCGTCAGCCCCAAAAGACGTGCTTGCTGCTGAGGGGAGAACACTAGACAGCGTGTGAGTGAGCTCAGAGGACGGGGACCGAGGCAGCGGCGGCGACACGACCCAGCGACCAGGGCGCGCAGCGCAGTGCTGAGCTGCGTCCAGCGCCAGGCGTTCACTGCTTGTCAGAGTCGCTCAGGTTCACGGACATGCATCGGCACTGCTTCACCTTCTGGATTTTTTTGAGTCGAAAGGGTGGATCCAGCCCGGGGCATTCGAGCTCCACCAGGACCGAGGTGACACGCTGGGGCTTGCAGAAGGCGCAGGACTGAAAGGACTCCTCCTCTTTCTTCACGTGCCGCGGGATGTAGAAGGAGTTGCACTGGCCATAGCAGAAGCGGTTGAGGATGGTGCGGCTGCGGCAGCCCTCCTCGCTCACCGTCTGCCGCAGTGGCTGGGTCTTGCACCAGTCACTCTTGAGGTACTTGCGCTCGGTGACCACCAGGGCCTCCTGGCTGGAGGCAAGCACTTCCTTGATCTGGTGATGCCATCTCTCTGAGTTGTTGCTGCTGCCGTCCTTATAAGGTGAGGGGATGGCACCCACAGGCCTGTTCTTCCGGGCTTCTGCCACCTTCACCAACACAGTCACCAGGAACAAGGACAGAGAAAGCTTCCAGAACATCCTGCAATGAGAAAAGAGTTAGAGAGGTTGGTTGAGAAGGGCGACAGAGTGCAGAATCCATGTTGTCCTTTTAATGCTTTATGGGTTTCTTAGGAAAGGTGACAGACTGCAGGATGACCAGGGATGGCTGAAAGTGAGGAGCATTAAACAGTCCACTTGAGGATAGCTATGACACTACCATAAATAGTGCCCCAAAGGAAGTAATGAATTTATAATGCAGTTAGAAAACATAAGTTGAACAATTACAGAAATAAAGCAAATGCTGCCAAGAGACACTCAAGCCAGTTCACAGAAGTACCAATAATGGTAAATACTCAAATGTTTATTGTGTTTTAGAATGGGCCAATATTGTTCGAAGGGGTTTACATGAACAGCTCATTTGGTCCTCAAAACAGCCTTAAAATGGAGGTGGTATTAGTGTTCCTACTTCATGCTAGTAATGCATTGAGGCCCACAGAGGTTCCATCATTTGTTCAAGGTTACATAACCAGTGAGCAATGGCACAGAATTTGGAGCCAGGTATCTATATCCAGAGCCATCAATATTAACCAACAGACATGGATATGATTAGAAAAATTAATAAGTAAAAAGTAAAAGGAAAGTTCACAAATTTCTTAAAAATAAGCATTAATGTTAGAAACACACATAGGCTAAAAACGAATAGTCACATATCTGTTCATTATTACATATAAGTAATAGATAAAATTTAGCATTTAACATCAGTACACAGAAGTTCAAATCAGTCAAATGAGTCATAAATTAGATTTGTATAGTGGAAATTCCTACTTGTGAATTAAGAAATTTCAAGTCTGCATTAAAATTATGCCAATGCAAAGTTACCTGAGTGAATGGATTGTTTTTTCCAGTTTGGGTATTAGGAGACTGTGACACAAAATCAACAGAAATGGGAATTAGAGAGAAATTATTTTTCCTCTATCTAAAATGTGCCTTGTAGGGAGAAAACTGAAGTTTGACTTAAGTGAAAGATGGGCTTCAAAGTTCAATTTACATTTTTAATTTTTATATTTTCATGAATAGTCTCAAAAACCCAGCAAAAGAGATGTCTCCCATCTCATTTTACAACTGTAACTCCTAACATAATCCTCTCAGTATCATTATTTTCATCTTTATTAATTTCTTCTCTTTTTTACCATTTGTAAAACTGATAAATTCCCATTCACTTAACGTGCACACTTTAACATAGACCCGTAAAAATAAAAAAGTATACATAAATGTTTATATATATGTGTATATATCTATACATGTATATTATATATATGTATCAGGCACAAGCATATAGAAATGGTTAAAAGTTAATATTAAGTATAAGAAATTCTTCAAATCACAAGCTAATATATTTACTAATATTAGAATAACTAATATTTTTTGGTTCTCAAAACACATCAGACATGTACACTCAGAAAAATGAGAAATTATATAAGATATATCAAAGTGTATAAATGCATTCTACTGTCATGTATAACTAAGTAAAACAAATTAAAAAACCACACATCACACACACATTTTATTTCTTGTGTTAATGCATTTAATCAAAAAAACACCATGAAATAGTTAGTATTGCTTTCCCTATATTATGAATGAGGAAATTGAACATTGAGAGGTTGTACAACTTGCCAAGAGCACATATCTTGGTGCCATTGTTACATGTCCAGTCTAAGCCACAATAAGCTTTGCACATCAACTACTTACGAAGTACTGATTCTGGAGTAAGCGCTGTGATTGGCTTTGTGAATTCCAGTATGTCTCTATTATAGTTTGGTCCTTAAGTGCCCCTCGAAGACCTATGCATTAAAGCCTTGATTCCCAGCTTAGCACTAGTGAAAATGATTAAAAACTTTAAGAGTTGGAACCTAGTGGGGGTGTGTCCTTGAAGGAGATTGTGGCACCCCAGTATCTTCCTCTCTTCCTCTTTGCATTATGATTGTCAGGAGGGGAGCAATTTTCTCTGCCACACACTGCTGCCATAAAGTACTGCCTCATCACAGGTGCAAAAGCAGTGCGTAGTTGCACTCATGGACTGAAACCTGCAAAACTGTGAACCAGAATAAACCTGTCCCCTTTTTAAGTTGGTTATCTCAACTGTTTTGTTCCAGTAAAGGAAAGCTAACTAACATAGGCATCAGTGGCCACCCAGGATATGAAGGTACAAGGAAAAACCACTGGTTTTAGTTAGAGAGGAAACAGGAAGAGCCTAGGAAACAACTAAAAGAGCCTTTTAAAATCTGAATAGGATTCCTCAACATGATGCTGCTGCTGAAAGCAACTGGAGTTAGGTAGTATGGATGAAAATGAGCAAAAGAAATACAAAATTTGGTGGGGAGGGGAAACACAGATAATATTCTATCTTTTCTCTCTCCTTCCTTCCTTCTTCAAAGATATTTTTCCAACACAATTATTGAAATTTTAAGGCCAAGTCTTTCAAGGGCTTTTCTCATGTCTCCTTAGTTCCACACATGAAGTGTCATATGAAAATAGCCACCCTTCCAGCAGACCCATGGCAAGCATTGAGTCTTGGACTCACTCAGCTTACACAGCTTATTATATTTGCAGAATGATTTGTGATCTCAATAGCCTCTTAAAAAGAAAGTATTTTGGTTCCATTTTAATAATTTCCGAAATTATTAACATTCTGAGTAAACACAACCAAAAGTTTGTGAGTCCCAGCCAGGAAAGATTTACAGAGTCGACCTGGTCCTTAACTCCTAGTTCCAATAACAGCCTCACATGCACCATTGATAGGCTCGAAAAGGCATGCTTTCATTCAACACCTTCTAATTCTTGTCGGGGAGAGCAGAGCTGAAACATGCTCAGATCAATCTGGGGCAAAAACTCTCCGTGTCAACAGTATTAGATGTGGTGATTAACAACACGCATTCTTTGAACACTTTAAAATGATTTCAAAACATCTGGCACACGTCCCTAGAAGTCATGTCTCACAGGAACCTAGGAAGGAAAGCAAACCTCCAGTTTTCAGGAAAGGAAAAGAGACAGATAAAATGTAGGTGTCTGGGGCCAAGTCAGTCTCTTCTCTCTTTCCTTTCTTATATCTCATTTCTGTTCTCCTTCACACATGGCCACAGTAAGCTCACCTCACCTCAGTGTCAGCTCACTGTCAGAACAGGTAAGTAGGAAAGAGGTGTTTGCCATGATGATTATTCAATTATATCCTCTTTCCTTCAGGGACACTGATGTAATTGAACCTGCTGTTGTTGGCCCTTGCTTGTGGAGAGTTCACCAAGGAGACAATGTACGTGCCATGCCTCTACCTTCAGTTTGCCAATCATCCTTCCAGTGGTCTGACCAGGACCTGAATTCGGCACTTCAATTGCTCTGTCCCGACACCCTTTGCTATTCAAAGAAATGGCTGGCATACAATTAAGCTCTCAGGAATGTTGCCACAACTGCCAGTAATGACAGCATGAGGATACTTCATTTTACTCTCACATCTTATGTTTGGCTTGTATGAGAAGAAACTCATAAATAAATCCTGTCGGCTTTATTAACCGTCCTTCTGGCTTGACAATGTTTTCAGTTTGCAAGGGGTGCCAGGACTATAAATGCTGATGGCCTAAGCAGACTGGGTTGGCCAAAGTTGATTGTGCAAAAAAGAGAGGTAGTAGAAGCATTTTTCTCTTAAGTGAACGCCCTTGGACCTGGCCTTTGTAAATATAAGAACAAGAACTGGCCAGGTCAAAGCAGCTGAGAAATCATAGTCCCCCTCTATGAGCCCTTCCTAGAAATGTGAAGACCTGAACAGGGTCTCTACAATAGGACCTGGAGCAAGAAAGCTGATTTCTAGGAAAGGATACAGCAGAGATGAATCATCTATCCCAACAGGTGTATGCAAGTGAGCAAAGGCCATTGGTGCAGTTAAGCCAATGAACTCACCGCCACAGTGAACTTGCTGCGTTTTAGAAGTCAGGCCAAGGCAGGACTGGACTGTGTAGAAGTGGTGAATGGCAGGGAGGGGATGAAATATTTTCTGTGACCTAAGAATTCTAGAGTATCCTTGGAAAATTAAAGGGAAGCACCCAGGTCTAAATATCCATAGGCACTCTGGGATAAACTTGCTCCTACCACCCAAGTGAAAACACATTAAAAAACAAACAAAAGATCCAAACCAAAACCCCCAACAATGTTAAAAATCCAAGTATATATTTTTTTGAATTTTCTACTGCCATCGCTTCAACAACCAAAGTACTTCTTCTGTGATTTTGATTCCTAGGCTGTAAGGGTACTGGTTTAGCTCCCTAATCAACTCTCTAGAGATAAATGTGAATGTTCCTTGGCCCCTGGATCATCCTTGTAGCCTAAGATTGCTTGTCTGCTGAAACCACTTACCTCCCTGGCAACTCTAAACTGAGGGAAATTATGGCCCACAGGCCAAACCCAACCTGAGGCCCTTTATTGTGAATAAAGTTGTATCAAAGCATGGCCATGCCCATTCATTTACATTTTGTCCACAGCTACTGTTGTGCTGTAAAGGCAGAAAGCATAATGCAGATAGTGACCATAATGCCCACAAAGTTAAAAACACTATCTGGTCTTTTACAGAAAAACTTGGCCATGTCCTGCTCCAGACTTTTTTCTATTCAATTCAGTTGTCATCTTCTCTTTACTTTCGTGTTCATTTGACAGAAAAAAAAAAGTAGCAAATTTCCTTGACTTTAGGGGATGTGGCTCAAGCGGTAACACGCTCGCCTGGCATGCGCGGGGAGCTGGGTTCGATACTCAGCACCACATACAAATAAAATAAAGATGTTGTGTCCACCAAAAACTAAAAAATAAATACTAAAAAAAACTCTCTCTCTTTAAAAAAAAATTTCCTTGACTTTAAAATTTTATAATTGTGAAACATTTCAAACATAAAGCGAGGCAGAAAATTTTTAAAAAAACTGTGCCGACCATCAGGATGAATACAATATTAAGATTTCCTATCTTTACAATCTCTTTCAATTTTGTAATATATATATGTAAATA